GTTGATGAAAATGTGATCAGAGGCTTGCAAGAACCTAACCCTGTATTTTCCCTAGGAACAATGGTTCAGTATTTGCTAATTCAATGTTCGCAGCAACTTTGTAGAACAAAACTACCACAGGGGATTCCCTGGTGGTCCAGTGGTTAGGACTCCGTGCTTTCACTGCCGAGGGTGCGGGTTCAATCCCTGGTGGGGGAACCAAGATCCCGCAAGCCTTGCAGCATTTCCAAAAGAAAAAAAGAAGAAGAAGAAAACTACCACCAATAATGAGAATCAACTGTAATCATATTGGGACAACGAAGGGATGGAAGAACATGTGTGTCTGTGTATGTATGAGGGCGGGTAGGTACACACCATGCACGGGGACAGGAAGAGAGTAAGGACGGGGGGATAAAGGGATGCCAAATCCTCATCTTCCATGGTGTGAGATGACACATCTAGTCTCAAAGTGAAAAAATGCAGATTTGTCACATAAGCCATTTAGAGACATGCAGGTGAAGTCCAAAAGATTCAAAGGAGAGGTAAGAATCACTCCTGGAAGGGAAGGGAAAATGTGGGTAGAGGGTGGGGCTGGCAGCTGCCACTTGAGGTAGAAGGCTAGAGTCTTTCATCTCGAAGCCTGCATGACTTTAATAAAAGCAAAAATTTCAAGTGAAAGTGGAGAGAAGAAAGAAAGCTGGAGGTGAAGAATATGATGGAGAATGTGTGGCCATCTGTGAGCACCAAGAACAAGAAGAGGTCCACATGTATTTCTTGGGAAAGAGACACAAGATGCCTCTGAGGAGGGGAACTGCAGGGCTGGGGGCAGTGGAGAGAGGGCAGCATTCACAGCAAACCTCTCCCTAACATTTAAATTTTGTAGCTGTGTTATGTATTAACTGTTACAAAAAAATAACTGAAAATGTAAAATGTTAAAAGTTAGCTGTTTATACATCCACCTCCCTGGTCAGATCCTGATATCTCAACCATTCAACGAATAAATAGAGTTGCTACGGTGAGCAGCCTCAGCATTTACTGAGCTAACCTTACGGCCACCCTCCAAAGTAGGGTTCTAAAATCCCCATGTCAGATGGTGGATGAGCTGGGAGCTCAGGGAGGTGAATTACACACCCAAGGTCACACAGCAAGTAGAGGACAGAACAACACAGACCAGTCCCCCTGGCAGGGTCCCTCTGTTCCTCCTCAGGCCTGCTCCCAAACAGTCACCACGTACCACGTGACAGAACAAGTGCCCGTGCTGCACACAACAGGTGCTCAATTCATGTTTTCTTAAAGAAGAGAGGATGCACAAGGTGTACTCTTAGAGATGAAGGAACTAAGACTCAGAGGGTGATGTTTCATGGGCTAGCAAGGCGCAGGGTGAGGGCCACAGCTAGACGCTCCGGCTCTAGCCACCAAGCACCTAAGCTCTGAGGTACCCACTGCTGGGTGAAGGCGATCAGTACCAACAAGTCTGGGTGCCTACTATGTGCCCAGCTCTCCTCTAAGAGCTTCAGTAGAGCACCCCAAGAACCCCATGAAGGGGTGCTAGTGTTACAGCCACGGGGAGAGGGCCATCAGCAAGGGTAGGAAGCACAGGAAGCAGCTCCCGCAGGAGTGCTCCCTGTCCACAGACAGCACAGCAGAGAAACTCGACTGAGGCTGCAGTGGCTCGTGCTCAGGTTACTCAAGCATTCACAATGGGGCCCAGTCTTCACGGCCTGTCCCTCCCGCCCTCGCCCCCAGCCTCTCTGGAGCACACCCACACTCAGCACTGGGCTCCAGCCACATGTCTGGGCCACATGTCTGGGCCACCCCCACCCTGGCAGCAGCACAAGCCACCCCCACCCAGGGGACAAAGAGGCCACTGTCCACCTTTGGGCCCTTCCTGAGGCCTCTTCTTGCCCCTCTGCTCCTTCTGCCCCTTCCTGCTTTCACCCTGAGCTCTAGGACACCGGGGCAGGAAGAAAGAAACACAGATGAATGTGATCAGATTTCATGAGGAAAATAGAAGACGAGTTAGAAGAACTGAGGCTGGGTGCTTAAATATTTCTGAACCTAGGTTCTAAATGCAGCCCGCCTGCACCACCACCCCAGCACAACACAGTAGCTAAGAACACATACTCTGGAGTCCTGCCGCTCCACAGCTCTGTGTTCTTGGGCAAATGACCTCCCCTCTCGGTGCTGTGGTTCACCAACCACAAAATGGGATTAGTAAGCATTCCTTCCTTACAGGACTGTGAGAACACTAGAACAAAACCTGGTACAGAGGTGGGTGGGTGTTACATAAGCTGCATTAGTTAGCTATTGCTGTGTAACAAATTGCAGCCAAAATTACTAGCTGAAAAGAGCAAACACTGATTATCTCACAGCTTCTGTGGGTCACAAATCCAGAAGCAGCTTAGCTGGGTGGTTCTGGCTCAGGGTGTCTTGTGAGGCTGTAATCAAGGTGTCAGCAGGGGCTGTGATCATCTCAAGGTTTCACTGGGAGAGAATCCATTTCCAAGTTCACTCATGTGAGACTCTCCACAGAGCTGCCTTACATGACAGCTAGCTTCCCCCAGAGGGAGTGACCCATGAGAGAGAACCCAAGATGGAAGCCACAGTCTTTTTCATTACCTAATCTCAGAAGTAATATCCCGTTGCTCTTGCTGTATTCTGGTCATTAGAAGTGAGTCACTAGGTCCAGCCCACACTCAAAGGGAAGGGATCATACAAAGGTGAGAAGACTGGGAGGTGGGGCCATCTTCCAGGCTGCCTCCTACAGAAAGTGTGTCAAGCTCTGTGTTGGGGACTCGGAGTGGACCCAGCTTCTGTCCTGTCCCAGGGGAGACAGAGCTGGTCACAGATATCCCCTTCCTTGGGCATGAAGGAGTGAAGACCTGCCATCCAAAAAAGGAAGGAGTGAAGACCTGCCATCCAAAAAAGGAAGGAGTGAAGACCTGCCATCCAAAAAATATACCCTGCGCTCCTGTTGTGTGCCGCCCTGACGGAAGACCAGGGCCACAGGAGCACAAAGTCCAACACGGTCTCCATCTGTGCTGGCCCCCCAACAGGGCCCACAGTTTAGTGGGGGGAAAGAGACCCCAAAATTAAAAAGCAAGAAAGCAGACACATATGATAATTACAAGTGACTGATGCCACTAGTGGTTACAAGTCAAGCTCTGGAGCCACACTGCCTGGGTTCAAATCCTGCCTCCACTGCTGGCCAGCTGTGTGACCTTGGGCAAGTGACAAAACTATGCTGTGCCTCAGTTTGCTCATCTGTAAGATGGGACAAGAGAGTACCCACCTCTCAGGGTGGTTGGGAGGACTTGAAGAAGTCATGCTTAGCAGAGTGCCTCACACAGAGGAAGCCCTGTGTAAATCTGGGCCATTCTGCCAGAGAGCAACAAGGTGGGAGGGTCTACGGAGACATAGGGTCAGGGGAGAGCTGTCTGACAAGCTGACATTTAAGCCATGGCATGATGAAAATGAAGAGCAGGGGAAGAGTGATCTGGGCAGAGGGTATAGCAAATGCAAAGGCCCTGGGGCTGGAATAAATACGAGTGTGTTTAGGAACAGCAAGGAGGCCAGTGTAGCTGGAAGAGTGACAAAGGAAAGGACAGGAGGTTGGGAACATGGTCAGAAACCTCATGTGGTCTAGATTCTAAGAGCAACAAGGAGCCATGGGAGGGTGCTGAGCAGGAAAATTCAGCAAAGGGTCCCCTGAGGGAGGCAACATCATAAGGAGTTGCCAGGCAAAAGGAGGGCCAGTGTATTCCAGACAGAGGAAAGCAGCCTGAGCCTGACAAGGCAAGTTGATCTGGGGGCCAGATGAACCTATGGAGAGGTGGGGAGTGGCAAGTGGGCAGGGAATAGATTGTCAGGACCTCAAGTACCCAGCTGGAGGCTGAGTCTTTTCTACTGCAGAGGATGGAGGTTGTGGAGGGTGTCTGAACAGAGAGCACAGTCCAATCTGCATGTCAGAAAACCAAGGGCAGGGGCAGGGGCCAGGGCGTGGAAAAGAAAGGTCAGGTTCTAGAAGGTTCAGAACCAGTCAATTTGCAGTGGAGGTTTTTCCAGCTGCACACCATCCCTGCTGCTCACAGAGCCTCAGTTTCTTCACCCTTACAGTGGGTTAGTCCTCCCACCTCCCCATGGGCACCAAGACTGGCAGACCCATAGCAAGTGCTCAGGGACTTCCACATGGAGGCTGTTCCTGAGATTTGCTCCGGTGGTAATGCCCAGAAGCACTTATTTCACCCCAGGAGGACTCCCAACAGCTTCTCTGAGGAAGCCCCTAGAGATACCCGAGACCTTCCAAGGATGCCTGCAAACACCACCAGAATCCCCTCCCCAGAGATTCTCAGTCACCAGAGAGCAAATCTTGGAATACACAGCAACCTCTCCACAGATTCTGAACCCCCAAAGTCACGCACAGACCTCAAACTCTCAAAGAGCACCCCGACCACAGAGAGACCTGTAAATGGCCCTGAGGAGACAAACACCCTTCAAAGGCTCTAAAAGCCCTTTACACATGCCCCAGGAAGCCCTTTCATTCTCCCTGAGAAAGTCCCCCTGAGAACTCCTAGGGACCTACCGGAGTCCCTGAAGACGCCCCAGATCCCTCCCACAGTCACCAAAGCCCCATAGAGACCCCCCCAAACACGCACGGCCTCCCAATCAGCCTCAGCTCTCTGGAAGTCCTACTCGCTGCCCTAGTACCCCCAAGTTGCCGTCCAGAGCCCTGAGGTCACCCACGCAGGCTCAAGGACATTGAAATCTACTCATCTCCCTCCAGGGAATCCCTCAAGATGTCCCCTTCTGGTGCCCTCAGAGTCCCCGAACCCACTCTTTTCAGGTCCAAGCCCCGCCCCTAGCCCCGCCCTCACCCAAACCCCGCCCCCAGTCTCCAAAACCTCCCCCCTCCAAGCCCTCAAGGTCCCCCACGCTGCCCTTTCAGCCCCCTCTGTTCGCCCCGCTGGGCGCTCAGCCCGCCCCCGACCCCAGCCCTTGTATCAGGCCCGGGCTGCACTCACAAGAGGTCCCGCCTCGCGGTTTTGCAGACGATGCGCAGAAAACGCCATCCGCCGCCGCCTACGTACACGCCGAGCGCCACCGCTGTGCTCCAGGTCCACGGCAGTCCGAGCAACCACAGCAGCACCAGTGAGGCCACGGAGGCCGAACCCGCACCTGGAGCCCGCATCCTGGGGAGGCGGAGAGCTGTGAGGCCACGGCCCGCCCGAGCCCCGCCCCACGGCCAACCCAACCCCGCCCAGATGTCGCGCTCCGCTCCCGCTTGGAGCCGGCCCCCCCCATACCTGGGATTGGGCATGTCTCAGACAGGCTCCGCCCCATCCCAAAGTGGGCACAGGCCTCCTTGCTCCTAGCCCGGCCCAGGCTTTTCTGCCAATCATTAGTGTATCTCCACGCCCCCAGGCATAGCTCTTCCATTCCGTCAGTCACTGGCAAGCCCCATCCCATGCCTCGACTTAGCAGCTGTACGCTGGACCCAAGCTCTATCCTAACGACTTGGCCCCCAAGCCTAGAGTCCACCTTGGCCCCACCACAGACCCAGGTCCTGGGCTTTCCTCCAGGTCCCACCTCTATCCGCCCCACCTCCACTGGCTTGACCCCGCCCCCAGGTTAGGTCTCCGGCCCCGCCCGTAAGCACAGGCCCCATTCCGGAGCCCCGCCCGCCCTGGACCAGGTTCTGCCCCTAGGTTAGGCCTATGGTCCCGTCCACAAGCACACGCCGCACCCACTCTGGGCCGCAGTAGCTCAAGCCCCGCCCCCAGTCCTGGGCCTAGCCAGTATTCCCCTGCCCAAGTTCCACCCCGGTCACCGGCCCCGCCCTCAGGCTTTGGCCCAGTCACCACCCTCCGCCTCACTCCTAGCACCCTAGGCCCCGCCCCACCTGCCCTCCCAGGCCGGCTCTCTTCCGACCTGTCTGGCTTAGAACCGCTCTGCCGCACAGCCGCAGAGCCGACGCCCGCCCCCTCCCGGAGGCCACGACCATAGAGAGGCCACCCTGGCCAGAGTGACGACGGCCAGCGAGACCCAGGGGCTAGAACGCCTGGCGAGGAAGGCGGCTGTCTCCATGACAACCAAACTTCGCCGGCCTCCCAGCTTCCCCGTCCTATCCCTGCCGGCGATTAGGAAACACTTGCGTCCCTCAGCCAAGAGAGGTTTGGCTCCCGGGCGCTCCCGGCCCAAGCCGTAGTTGGAAACCAGAATTCCTACCCCGGGGGACTAGCAACTCTCAGTTCACATTCAGGGCCTACCTGTACTGGGTTCTTGCCCCAGTTTATTCTAAATCCAATCCCCAAAGCCTCTTCGGACTCCAGGGACCTGGGGAGTACTAAACTCACAGCCTAGGGGCCCCAAAATATCCAACCCCTACCTCAGTCTTAAAGATATATTCCAATGGACTTCCCTGGTGGCACAGTGGTTAAGTATCTGCCTGCCAGTTCAGTCGACACGGGTTCGAGCCCTGGTCCGGGAAGATCCCACATGCCGCGGAGCTGCTGAGCTCCTGCACCACAACCACTGAGCCTGCGCTCTGGAGCCCGTGAGCCACGGCTGCTGAGCCCACGTGACACAACTATTGAGGCCTGTGCGCCTAGAGCCCGTGCTCCTCAGCAAGAGAAGCCACCACAATGAGAAGCCCACGCACCACAGCAAGGAGTGGCTCCCAGCTCCCAGCAACTAGGGGAAGCCCGCGCTTAGCAACAGAGACCGAACGCAGCCAAAAATAAAAAATATAAATAAAGTAATTTTTTAAAAAAAAGATATATTCCAAGGACCCAACTAATCCCAAATCCATATCCCGAAATCTTGTCAGTTAAGTCTCACCGCAGCAGCCCAGGGAGGGCAAAATCCACACACCAGTTCCCCACCCTTCCACAGGAACCCCAGAGTCCCTTATTTGCATCCCAAGGTCCTAAATGCTAACCTAGAGACCCTAAAGCCCTCCCCCTGATCAGGTGCGGGCCAGTGCTGGCCTCGCTGCCCATCACCCTGTTCCCTGGCTGACCTGGAGCCGCTCACAGACCCTCAGGCTTTGGCTGCTCTGTCGAGGGTTACCAGAGCTCAGGCAGCGACAGTGAGTACAAGACAGAGGACTCCCCACCGGGGCTTCTGCTTCTGCAGACTCCTGGGACCTGCTCTGACTGTGTTGTGCCCATGTGGGCTTCTGCTTTGGCTCCTTCTCTCCAAACTCCCCTTTCCTCTGCCCCTCTGCGCACCCCACCCTGCTTGTTTTCTGCGCAGCTTGGCCGACCTTCTCAGCACTCTCCTTGGGAGGTGGCCAGGGCCTGCTTCCAGCACCATTTAGAGGACAGGACCGGTCAGGCGCTCCCCTCCACACACACACACACACACACACACACAGGTGCGTGCGCGTGTGCGCTAGCGCACCCATGCTGCCATTGGTCCCTGCGGGCCACCTAGGGTGGGTAAAATGGGGACAAGGAGGCAGATCCGAAGGACAGGCCCAGAGCCAGTCACTGATCCCCTACTTTCTCAACCGGGGGTCAGTGGAGTCAGCAATGCCCAGTAACTACAGCAGCACTCTTATCCTGCCAGGTAGCACTATTGTGATCACCCCACCTTACAGGTAAAGAAACTGAGGCCTGGAACTGTCACACTAGCTGGAGTTGAGATTCATTCATTCACAAATGTGGGCAGACAGCTTGCTCCCCTTCCTCACCCTCCTCCTCCCCTTTCACTCTTCCTTAAACTTCTCCTCCCTCTTCTCCATCTTGCCCTGATTCCCCCTACTTCCCCCCTTCCTCCCTCTCTCCCCCTCCCCCTTCTCCTTCCCCTCTTCAAGGCCCCCCCTTAGCCTTCTTCCACTTCCCCTTTGCTCACCTTCTCCCCCTCCTCCACCCACTCCTCCTTCCGCTTCCCCACTTCCTCCTCCCCACTACTCCTCTTCCCCTTCTTCTCCCATCCTCCTGCCCTCCCTCCTCCTCCTTTCTTCCTCTTTCTTCTTCCCCTCCCTTCCTCCCCTTCCCCCTTTCTTCTCTCTCTTCCTCCCTCCATCTTACCAACTTTACTGAGCCCCGACTAAATAGTACACGTGGGGGCTTCCCTGGTGGCGCAGTGGTTGAGAGTCCGCCTGCCGATGCAGGGGACGCAGGTTCGTGCCCCGGTCCGGGAAGATCCCACATGCCGCAGAGTGGCTGGGTCAGTGAGCCACGGCCGCTGGGCCTGCGTATCCGGAGCCTGTGCTCCGCAACGGGAGAGGCCACAGCAATGAGAGGCCCGCGTAACGGGGAAAAAAAAAAATCGTACACGCGGGACTTCCCTGGTGGTCCAGTGGTTAAGACTCTGTGCTTCCACTGTAGGGGGTGCAAGTTCCATCCCTGGTCGGGGAACTAAGATCCCAAATGCTGTGCACGGAGATACTCTTCTCCTCAGTCAGCAATCCCCAAATCCCCCAAAAGGCTCTGCAAACCCAACTTTTTCTTAAGGTTGTGCCAGTACTGCGGCGGAGGGACCACTTCCACGGCACTGACCCTGGCTGTTTTCAGTGATCAATGATCCCTTTTTACCCCTGTTTATCCTTTATTTATCCCTTTACGTAGGGGCTTCCCCATACCCCCCAGGGACATCACACAACACATGGCAGCTTTCGCCCTGTTACCTTCCTAAGATCTGAAAAATTCCCAATTCCAAAAGCGTAACTCTCCCCAGGGATTCCAGGTGACTGGTTAAGGAACGATCCTATCCCTGTTTCACAGGAGGGGAAACTGAGGCCTGGACAGAGGGACAGAACTCAGCTTTCAGGGCCAAAGCAGGCTCTGAGCCTCTCCAGTTGGGTGGCCTTGGGCAGGTCACCTCTCCCCTCAGCACACTGGTCGCCCTCTGGGTGGTAACGCCCACCTCCCGCGCGCGCGCGCGCACGCTGTTTAGAAAGGCTCACAAGGGGCTTCTGGTCTGGAGAGTGAGCAGGCACACAGTAGGTGGGGGGCACAGAATGATGGGTATCTCCCTTTCTCGGCTGACCACATGGGTCTGCAGGCCACAGCAAAGGGAGTTCTTGGAACTTTCTGGAAGAACAAGAGGGATGAAGCACACGTTGAAATAAAATAACCGGAAGATCAAAGCATGGGAATCGCACTATCAGAAGAACATGAGCGCTGTGTGGGAGGGAGCCATTTCTCTGCGCCAAATTCAAGTGCCCACTACAGTAGGGGTATTAGTTTATTGGGGCTGCCATAACAAAGTACCACAAACTGAGTAGCTTAAAATAACAGAAATGTATTGTCTCTCAGTTCTTCCTGAAGCCAGGAGTCAGAAATCAAAGTGTCAACAGGCTCATACCCTCTGAAAGTTCCAGGGACCCTTCCCTGCCTCTTCCAACTTCCGGTGGCTCCAGGCGTTCCTTGACCTCTGGCCATATCACTCCTATCTCTGCCTCTATCTTCACATGGCCTTCTCCCTGTGTGTCTGTGTCCTCTCCTCTTCTGCCTCTTATAAGAACACTTGTCATTGGATTTAGGACCTACCTAGATAATCCAGGATCATCTCATCTTGAGATCCTTAATTTAATTACATCTGCAAAGACTCTTTTCCAGATAAGGTCACAGTCACAGGTTCTGGGGGTTAGGGCTTGGATATATCTCTTTAAGGGCCACCAGTCAACCCAATATAAGCAGGGTGACCAGTTACAGCGGTGATTCTCAACTAGGGGGCAATCCTGCTCCTTTGGACACTTGGTGACACCTGGAGACATTTTTTTTTTTTTGCGGTACGCGGGCCTCTCACTGTTGTGGCCTCTCCCATTGCGGAGCACAGGCTCCGGACGCGCAGGCTCAGCAGCCATGGCTCACGGGCCCAGCCGCTCCGCGGCATGTGGGATCTTCCTGGACCAGGGCACGAACCCGTGTCCCCTGCATCGGCAGGCGGACTCTCAACCACTGCGCCACCAGGGAAGCCCAAGACATTTTTAATTGTTACAACGTGGGACCGGGTGTGGTGGGGATAGGGGTGTTATGGCATCTAGTGAGTAGAGGCTAGGGATGCTGCTAAATGTCCTACAATGTTCAGGACAGCCCCACACCACAGAGAATGACCTGGCCCCAACTGCATGGGGGCTACAGTTTGGAAATTCTGGGATAGTTGAAAGGCCCAGTTAAGTTGGAATGGACTCTGCAGCCTGACAGGCATCATTTGCTGGGTGACTTCTCCCAGGCTCTGTGCTCCACCTGCAAAAGGGAGTAAAACCATATACGTCTTGTAGGGCTGTTCTGAGCACACAAGGCTGGCACCTATGTTGACCTGAAAAATAAAAGTTATTTTACCAGCAAAGATGGGTTTATGGGGAAATAGCATGGAATTACAATTCAGGACAAGCAACCTACAGCGAAAACCATAGACAAGTCCAACAACAACAATGACAACAAAAAGGAGAGGAACATTATTTTATAAAGAAAAAGGAGGGGGTGCTTCTCTGGTGGCGCAGTGGTTAAGAATCCACCTGCCAATGCAGGGGACATGGGTTCGAGCCCTGGTCCGGGAATATCCCACATGCCGCGGAGCAACGAAGCCCGTGTGCCACAACTACTGAGCCTGCAGTCT